ATTGATTATGACATTTGTTTCCATTACCAAAAAAAAAAATCAGCAGCCTCCTGGAAATTTCTTTCCCACCAAGAAGGTAGGAACAAATTTTCATGGAAAACCCGAAAAATAGGCGCTTGGGGGGTGGTGAGTCCGTGAAAAATTTTGCCTATCAAACAGTCAAAAAAGTAGAAAATGGAAAATTCTGCCAATCAAACGGGGCCTAAGGTTTGGGTTACTTTGGGTTTCTATCATTTGAATCCATATATAATTTTATTTGGGAAAGAATGCAACTTTTTGCAAGACTTCACGACCGTTGTAAAAAGTAAAAATATTTGAATGCTTTCGCAATGTTTATAGAACGTTGCGAAAAATGGAACTTTTCGCAACACTCAATAAACGTTGCAAAAGAATACTTTTCGCAACATTCAATGAACGTTGTGTTGCAAATAGTAAAATCTTTTAAATTTTTTCGCAACTTTTATTGAACGTTGCGAAAATGAAACTTTTCGCAAGGTTCAATAAACGTTGCAAATAGTGAACTTTTTGCAACAGTCGGTGAACGTTGCAAAATGCTATATATTACGAGTTTCAGCAACGTTTAATAAACGTTGCAAAAAATAAAACTTTCGCAACATTCAATAAACGTTGCGAAAGGTGACATTTGCAACATCCATTTAAAAAATGTTACCAAAACTTAATTATGTTAACTAATGGCAACATTCGCTTATTAAAATATTGCGGTAGACCCCTTTAGCAACACTTAACTACCGAATGTTGCCTTTTATGTGTTGCAAATGACCATTTTTGGTGTAGTGCTTCAAAGTGCGGGAATCTTGCATTTTGCAACAACATGGACCCTAAAAGCACAAAGTTGGGTCCAAGAGGCACCAAATGTGCCTTTGTTGGATATGTTAGTAATAGCAAAGCATATAGACTGCTAAATTTAGAGACCAATGTGATAATTGAATCAAATGACTCGGAGTTCTTTGAGAATTCACTACTTCGGATAACGGATTAAGGGAAACTCATAAAGAGATTCCTAACTTTAGTGGAACACAAGATGAAACATTTCTTAATGATATTGATGAATCTAGTAAACCTCAAAAAGGTAAAAGACATTAGGATCGGGTGAAAGTTACTCTCAACTTATTTCACTGTACTTAGTAGGTGAAAATGAGAAAAATGTTTTAAGGACAATACATTTTGTTCTATAAGTGGAAATCGATCCTAAAACCTATAAAGAAGCTATGACTTCTTGTGATAGTATCTTTTGAAAAGGTACAAATGAAGATGAAATTGATTCAATTATGTCAAACAATACGTGAAAACTTGTCAATTTACCATCAGAGTCTAAACGAGTGTTTAGGAGAAAATATAATGTAGATGGTTTTTATAATACATTTAAAGCAGATTAGTAGCTGAAGGTTATCGACAAAGGGAGGGAATAGATTATTTTGATATCTATACACTGGTAGCTAGAATAACATTAATTAGGATATTATTTGCATTAGCATCCATTTATAACTTGCATGTTTATCAAATGGATGTTAAGACGGCATTCTTAAATGGGAATCTCGACAAGAAGGTATATATGAAACAACCTGAAATGTTTGTTCAACCCAAAATAAACATAAGGTGTGCAAGTTAGTAAAATCATGACATGGTTTAAAACAAGCACCAAAGAAACGGCATGAGAAATTTAAATTAGCAATTATTTTATTTGGATTCATATATAATAGTGTAGATAAATATGTAGTATTTATTTGCTTGTAAGTTGATGACATGTTGATATTAAGTATTCACGTGGATGGAATAAATAAAAAAAGATGTTTCTATCTTCTACATTCACGATGAATGATTTTGGACTAGTGGATATCATATTAGGTATCAAAGTTACAAAAACTAGTAGAGGTTGTTATTTGAGTCAATCACATTATATGGAGAATGTGATAAATAAGTTCAAACACTTTGACGTAAAAGATTTTAGTACCCTTCTTGATTCAAGTTCTAAACATATAAAGAATGATGGAAGAGTTATTACTCAACTTGAGCATTCAAGTGCCATATGGAGTATTATGCACGCAGACAAGACCAGACATAGCATTTACAATTAGTAAACTTAGTAGGTTTCAAGTAATCCGAACAAGGGGCATTGGAAAGCCATTGGGAGAGTTGTTGGTTACTTCAAGAAAATAACAAACTTATGTCTACAATATTCCAAATTTTAGATTATATTAGAAGGATTTACTGATACTAGTTGGATATCTAGCATGGTCAAAGTAAATCTACTTCGAGTTGAGCGCTTACTCTTGGAGAAGGTACAGTTTCTTAAAAATCTAAGAAACGAACATGCATAACACATTCAACCATGGAATCCGAATTCATGGCGTTAGTCGACACTGGGAAAGAAGTTGAGTGGCTTAAGGATCTTCTATATGAGATACCTTTGAGACTGAAGAATACATCTTTGATATCTATCATGTGTAATAGTCATACCATATTAGGAACAACATACAATGAGATATACAATGGGAAGTCTAGACATATGAGTCTTAAGACATGACTATGTAAAGAAATTAATCAAGAGTGGAATAATTTCTCTAAACTACGTGAAGTCAAATGAAAGTCTAGTAGATCCATTAATTAAACCTTTTAATAGAGATTTAGTAATATCTACTTCGAGTGGGATGGGGTTGAAACTCTCAAATTAAAAAGATCCACTAATGACAGTAACTCTACTCTAACTGTCATTACTATAACAATAATCCACGGGGTTCAAAGGGTGACAACAAGTGGATAGCTTTGCAAAAATTCTATCCTGATTATATAATACTAGTTGTTACTTAAAAGAGGGTTGAGTTTTAAGCTTTTAATGAAGTTTAGTACTAAGTAGAAGTATCTCTTAAAGTAAAACGCTAGTGTTTAAGTGTTTTCTTCTTCAAGGTTTGATTCAATCCTACAAACCATTTGTTAGGGTCCATTTAAGCACCAATTAAATCTTAGAGTGGATAAATATCGTTTGAGGATAACGATCACGTGTTTTAGCTTTTCTACCAAATTTTGGTGTCTTGATCCTTTCTTTTGTTTTCTTTGGATAATATTCCAATAGTACCTATTTCTTATTTCCATTGGTCTACATTATGATTATGGGAATCAGATATGTATGAATATCAAAATATATGAAGGACTTTCAAATATTTTCAGAACTATCAAAAAATTGATGACTCACTTTTTGTCCATTGCAATACGTACAGTAAAAGAAATTCAAAGCTTGAAGGTCTCTCCTTGGTAGCCAGCCTTAAGGGAAAAAAGTATTTTCATATAAAACACTTAATAAAGTTCATAAAGTACAAAGATAAAAATTCTGGGACAAACAAACCGAGAAAAACATATTAAAATAAGAAGTTTTGCTAGACGATCTAGTTCTTTTTGTTAAGAAATTGAGAAATTTTTGTAACAATTGACGATTTCAAAAGAAAGATGAAAAAGGCAAAGAGAAAAGTAAAAAGATCATTTATTATGATTGTGACAAATTCAGTCACAAGAGAATTGAGTGTACGAACAAGAAAATATTCATAAAAAAGAAAGCACTCTAAACAATATGGGACGAATGTGACGATAAAGATCGTTCTGAAATTGAAAGTCAAGATGAAGTTGCCTACATGTGCTTCATGGCGATCCTATAAGGTAAAGTCTATTGAAAAATGTTCGTACGATGATTTATTGATGAGATACTTGAAAAATATGAAAAAATTGCTTTAAATCATTCAATTCTAAATATAAACACTCTTTATTGAAAAATGAGAAAGATCTTAAAAAAGAAAATATCGATTACAATTCTTTGATTAAAGAGACCTTCTCTTTAAAAAAGAAAGTTGAAGATCTGATTAAGATTATTTACAAGTTCACTCAAGGCAAAAATAAATAAATTTGACTTAATGTTTGGTGAAAAAAATGTATTTTCGATAAAGGAGGAATTAGATATAAATATTTCATAAAACAAAAGTTTCTCTAAAATTTATTTGTTAAATCATCTAATTCCTCTCTTCCAAAAACTACATACAGTTTTTGTAATAAAAATAGACATGTTTTTAATTGTCTAACCAGAAATAGGCTACACCTTGAAAGCAAAAATAAGTGAATTCAAGATTCCACTAGAAATAACTATAGGAACCTAAAGTTGTATGGATAACAAAAATCAGAAATTGAATTATTTTTATAGGTACCAAAGAAAATAAAGAGTAAATAGTTCTTGGATAGTGGATACTTAAAACACTTGACTGGAGATCAATCTCTATTGTCAAATCATTGGAATTTTAAATATTGGTAATCACTCATCTCCTTCTATTGAAAAT